TGGTTTTTTTTAGGTACTTGGCGATACCGAATACAGAGTACCGGAAGTCCCATTCAGGAAGCCAGGTGGCGTGTAATGACCCGCCACCTGCCTTCCTGATTAGCCGGGAAGCCAGGCAGCGTGTAAAGACTCGCCACCTGGCTTCCCGATTAGCAGGGAAGCCGCCCCCATGCTTCTCGTCACTAGGTGACGAGAAAGCATGGAGCTGGCTTCCTGATTGGTCGGGAAGCCGGCTCCATGCTCCCTCGTCATGAGCTGACGAGGGAGCATGAAGTCTGCTTCCCGGCTAATCAGATACCCGGGTGCCGCGTCAATACACGGAGCCCGGCTTCCTGATTGGCCAGGAAGCCGGCTCCATGCTTTCTCATCACAATTGACGAGGGAGCATGGAGCCGGCTCCCTGGCCAATCAGGAAGCCGGGCAGCTTGTAATGATGCACTGCCTGGCTTCCTGATACCAGAAGTATTGGGCTAGCTAGGCATCATCTTTTTTGTCACTCTGCTCTATCACTGTACTGTTACCGGGGTGCCGCGTGAATGCACGGAGCCCGGCTTCCTGATTGGCCAGGAAGCCGGCTCCATGCTTTCTCATCACAATTGACGAGGGAGCATGGAGCCGGCTCCCTGGCCAATCAGGAAGCCGGGCAGCTTGTAATGATGCACTGCCTGGCTTCCTGATACCAGAAGTATTGGGCTAGCTAGGCATCATCTTTTTTGTCACTCTGCTCTATCACTGTACTGTATCTATGAAGGGAGCAGCATCATCACCCTAGGACAGGAAGTATGTTGGCACTACAGAACAACTCCCGCTCTCCTTATTTCTGTAACATATAGGGGGAGTGAATCGGGCAGGGCACATAATACTGCAGAGTGTGTGGGACACTGCTAGGTTTCTGGCAGGATCAACAAGTATTTATTTTGCACTTGCAGCACAGCTTTAATAAAACTCTTGCAATGGTATGTTTTTAAGGGACCAAAAGGCACCAAATAAGTGAAGGACATAGCTGGGGTTTACATACAGGGGAAACTCGAATAATTAGAATATCGTGCAAAGTTAATTTATTTCACTAATGCAACTTAAAAGGTGAAACTAATATATGAGATAGACTCATTACATGCAAAGCAAGATAGTTCAAGCCGTGATTTGTCATAATTGTGATGATTATGGCTTACAGCTCATGAAAACCCCAAGAACCCCAAATCCACAACCTCAAAAAATTAGAATATTACATGCAATCAATAAAACAAGGATTGCACATAGAACAATATCGGACCTCTGAAAAGTACAAGCATGCATATGTACTCAGTACTTGGTTTGGGCCCCTTTTGCAGCACTCACTGCAATTACTTTTGCACGATATTCTAATTATTCGAGTTTCACCTGTACACTTTAAGTAATACAGTGCTCAGCACCCAGTGTAGCATACTCACTAACCCACAGGAACCAATCACATTCACCGTACTGTACGTAGATTATGTAGATCCTAGGAGTGGCTCTTATATGTGACCTTGTACTTTAAACACCATCTGTTCCCTTTTGTTCTATATTACTGCATAAGCTTGTTTGCATAAAACCAAGAGTGTAATCTCTGGGCAAAGCCTCCTTTTATTTCTGCCTTTTGCAATCCCAGATAATTGTAAAAGTAGCAGTGACATCATCACTGTGCTGTACATAGCCTGTGCAGAGAGCAGAGCTGTGGGAGGGACCCAGCAGGCCCCTCCCACACAGACTCTATGCAGGAAACTACAGGAGCGGGTGGAGACAAGACCAGTCACTGCACAAGAAGAGAGAGGAGCACTGATCGGTCTTTATTACAGGAGGGAGTGGAGACAAGACCAGTCACCCTGCACAAGCTGAGAGAGCAGGAGTGACCGGTCTTTATTACAGGAGGGGGCGGAGACAAGACCAGTCACTGCACAAGAAGAGAGTGCCCCGGAAACGCGTCAACACTTCAGTGCTTTACACAGGACACGCTATCCGGATCCTCTTACTGCTCTGGTCTTATTGTTCTACAGCTTGTTTTAATCTTCAGTATTACGAGTACCTGTCAGTTCACTTTTATGCCTGTCTTTTTGGAATAAACGATACTGCACTAGGAAAGGCGCCCCTTCTTTTGTGTTTTTTCAGATGTTCCAGTTCCCTTGACTGTTTTGGGGCTGTGCCTTGCATATGTGCTTACGATTCCTTCCCTGTGAGGGATAAGGATTGTCCTTGGCGCTTTCAAACCAAAAATTTTCTAGAGTTCATCTTGAATTCAACTAAAATATTTTATCTCAACAACTACTAAAAATACATCCTCCTCATCTTTGCGTGCTGCTGGTACACAATCCCAATGCTGAAGTTGGTAGCACCAGCACTTCAATTGTCAGAGCTGGGTTAGCTGCTGCCAGAACTACATCTCCCAGGATACCTCATGCAAAGGGTGTGTTTGTGGGAGTGGCCTAGTCTGATGAGTGGGCGTGTTTTATGCAGATTGCATGCAGCCAGACCAGGGCTTGTAAATTAGCCCTGGTTTTATAGCAGCCAATTTGTAAAGTAGATTTCTGACCTTGCCAGAGAAAATAATTATTGGGCACAAAGAGCAATAAAAATCCTGAGGGAGGTTCTAAACATTACAAAACACAGAGGTTTCACAGAATTGGCCTGTCTAACGTTCAAGGTTCTAAACATTCCTTAATCTACTAGACAATGTATTATAATTTGTATTTATATATGTGTGTGTGTCAAATAAAAAGGTGTACAAGTCTAAAAGTTAAAAGGTTTTTACCCTTCCTCCTTTACTCTTTGTACCTTTTTTAAAAGAGAAAAGTTTAGGCTGAGATAGCTTTAAGGAAAAAAAACTGCAATATAACATTTTTCTTTTTGAGTTTAGATACATTTTAAATTGTATTTATATAGGGATGCACCGATACCAGTGCCGATACTTGGCATTTTCATGAGAACTACCAGGGTTGCAGCGGTTGCAGCTGCGACTGGGCCCTGGTGCTCCACCACTGTCCTGAAATCATTAGTCTGTATTGTTTTAGAAAAACTGTCACATGACACCAAACAAAAATGTATCAGTACTCGTATCTGTGAGGACTTGGACAAGTATCAGTACTTGTACTTAAAGAAATGCCACTGGTGCATCACCTATATATTTATTTATAAAATCACACATTATAACAGATATATACAAATCCCAGGAGCTCTGTGTGCTCCTTACAAATGACAGCTGCCTCCTAACTTTTGCGTTTTTCTCTAGTCTAGTCTTGGAGCTGGAAAAGTATCGGTACTGGTACAGAGTACGGTACTTGGTATCTCAACATCCCTAGTATTATAGCTGTACTGTCTCCCTTTTTGTTGTAAAGTGGTGCACAAACTAATAATAACAATAATATATGAATGCACCGATGCCTTTTTTGTGGCATCGGGTACGAGTACCGATATTTATATTTCGGTACTCGCCGATACAGAGTACCGATATCGGTAATTCCGCTAGCATGGAACCGGCTTCCTGTGCAATCCGCTGCCCGGCTTCTTGATTGCCCGGGAAACCGGCTCCATGCTGTTCGGCCAATCAGCCGGGAGGTGGGTCATTACCCGCTGCCCAGCTTTCTGATTGGCCCGAGAAGCTGGCTCAATGCTGTTTGGCCGCCTCGATGCTGATTGGCTGGGAAGCCAGCTTCTCAGCCAAACAGCACAGAGTCGGCTTCCTGGCCAATCAGGAAGCCGACTCCATGTTCCCTCGTGGTACTGCCGATCAGAGGAAATCTCCCTTTGACCGGAAGTTTCAGTATCGGGGAAGGTATTGAAGTGTTTGGGCAAGTTCGAGTACTCGCCCCAAATACTCGGTATTGGCAGTATCGGTGAATTCCTAATAATAGTGTATTAAAGCACACATAGGCTCTAGTTGGCCAACAAGATGATTTATTGGGTGTCTGGCATTTCAGTGGGACACAGCCTCTCCCTATTTCTCTCTCTCTCTAGCTGGCCATACTCCAGTAGAATTTTGTTTTCAGAACATTTGTTCGATTTTCTAATGGCTAATGGGGGTAAATCAACTATCATTTTTTTTTTCCACAGTGACAGAAAGAGTTGAAAGAAGTGGGATGGAATTTTTATCTTGAATGAGCAAAATTGTAATAGTGAATGTGGTTTTCGTTCTGAAATCGAATGTTAAAATCAAATTAGATTTCAAATGACATTCATCAGCCTCTGATGGCATTATCGAATGTTCTGACCAGATTTTTTGTATGAAAGTTCAGATAAAATGGACCACTCTAGGCTGCTGTCTCTTTTGTTGGAGGAGCCATTCCTGAAAATTCTCAGCCTAACAGCACCTGCATCCAATCAGATGCAAGCACTGTCCAAGGTATTCAGTGGCTTCTGAATACAATAGCCCACCGGAAGATTTCTCCATCCATCCTGTTCAGTTTGTACTTTTTGTTCATTCCACAGGATGAGCAAAAAAAATAAAAATAAAAGTAGTAAAAAAGTAAAGTGATATTAAAGTCAAAATGTTTTTTTAAGTTATTTCAAATGCTGATGAAATCACATACAATGGATGGTGCTCCTTGATGTGTACAAATTTTAGTTAACTGCAGAATCAGCTGGTCCCCTAAGCACTGGTCCTGATATCCTGTTTTAGGGTGGCTCCTTTCCCTTGCAGGGTCCTATGGAGCCACTCTTGTGTGTGCTAGTAAGCTGTGTGTGTCTACACAAATACACAGACACAGGAAGGCAAGACACTCCCCTCCTCCCCATTCCCTTCTCCAAGCTAGTAGATGCTGCTGGATTCTGCTCTGTCCCTTGTGATCTTCTACTGGACAGGAAGTTCAGGGAAGCTGAGATCAGAGAGAGTTGGAGCTGTTCAGAAACATGATGACTCTAAATGTTTGGGCAACAATGTAAAGAAATACTTTGCTGGACAATGTATATTTGTTTGATCTGGATTCATTAATGAAAAAAAAGACTTTATTATTCCTTTTATGTTCTTTTTTTTTTTTTTCTTCTCTTAGCAATAAATAGACTACCGAGAGGACTGAAATATGAAGTTGTCTTTCCAGAGAAAATCCATTCTTGGCACAAGCGAGACATAGAGGTAAGTCGCACGTACATAATTATCTGCTAGATCTTCACTCGTTTTGTTTCTTGTTACACATTTTCCTCTGATCCGTCTTGTGTTAAATTAGATTATGTCTACAGATTGACTTCACTGATAAGATCGGCCGGCATTGCTTGAAGAACTAGGCAGAGGATTTCACTTCTGGAAACAAAGAGATTGTTACTTTGAGATATATATATATATATATACATATACAGGTGAAACTCGAATAATTAGAATATCGTGCAAAAGTAATTGCAGTAAGTGCTGCAAAAGGGGCCCAAACCAAGTACTATTGTGTGTGTGTGTGTGTATATATATATATATTACACACACACACTAGATTACCAAAAGTATTGGGACCGCCCTCCAAATCATTGGATTCAGGTGTTCAAATCACCTCCATGGCCGCAGGTGTATAAAATCAAGCACCTCGGCATGCAGACGCTTCTACTTACATTTGTGAAAGAATGGGTCGCTTTTAGGAGCTCAGACTTCTCTAGAGTCTCTTTCATCCTCTGGAACTCTTTACCCAAACCTGTCTGTCTATCTTCCGCCTTGACTGCCTTTAGGCGATCCCTAAAAACTCATCCCTTCAGGGAAGCCTATCACACTTCAACCTAAACACTCCTCACATTCTCAAACATTTCGTCCCCACACAGCTCCCTCCTCATGTATCACTGGCTTCTCCCTTTTTAGATTGTAGGTACGGCCGCGTAGTCCCATAGAGAAGGACGGGGGCTGCGTACAAATCACACGCAGCACCTGTCCTTCCCGGGAGCTGCACGATACGGCCGTGCACGCAGCATAGATCTGTACGTGCCCGCCTTTTCTTGTGTGAGTGAGGGCAAAGAAGTTACACTGGTGATTCTGCTGTTGGGAAAACTCATTAGCAGCTGAATTAAGAAATTGCAACCACCACCTTTTTCCTGTCTCTCCCTTGCTGGGACAAGCACCGCAGAATCTTGATAACTGCATCTGATTATACATAATTAACCCTTGTTTCATTAACATGCAGAGGAGGGAGGAGGGAGGAGGGAGGAGGGAGGG